TTCCTTCCATCCCGCTAGCCCTTCCTTCCTTCCTTGCTTGCTTGCTTGCTTCGTTTCTACCTACCTGCCTACCTACCTTCCTTCCTTCCTCCCGCTAGCCCTTCCTTCCTTGCTTCCTCTTCCTTTCTTGCCTCGTTCCTTCCTTCCTTCCTTTGCTCGTTTCTTTCTATGTTTTTTGATGTATTTTTATTTATTTTTTGATGCATTGTTGTTTATTTATTGATGCATTTTTTTCTTTTGATGCGTCTCCCGAAAGGACAGGGGGCGGATGGGGCGGTGGCATGAATGATACCATCTGAAAGGTTGATTGGTGGAGGCAAAGCACCGATAAGATCAGGCAAGTGATTTTGACTGATGTTGTCGGACAAATAGGGACAAATCCTTGATAAAATGCATCAACATACGAATCAAAGATTGAACACACCGCCAAATCGAAAGGGTCTTCCAAAAACTGCCTTGACCTTTACAACCCTGCATGAGTGAGTTCTTTTCTTGTAACAGTTCATTCAATCGAATCAACAAGCAAAAAATAAATAAACGTGTTGTATTAGCACACACACACACACATTGCGAATTAAGCCCACAGGACCTGGCGGTTGGAAGCCGACAAGGTACAACGTTGCCAATTATCTAATATTATCTATTAAGAACTCTTGGATTGTTTCTATACCTGGACCATTCATCCAATGGTGTCCAATGGAGAACCCAAGGTTGTGTAGGGTAGTCGTCTTGGTATGTTTATGATTGTTTGTGTATAATTTACAATTGAGGCTATAGTTGGCTACAAAAAAAGCAAACAGGAATTCGTGACGACCAATTTCAGCAACAGGAACTCAGGACCAATTTCGTCACGACCAAGTGGCTGGAGGACCTCGCAAAACAAGTCTGTTCAATTCTCGTTTATTCCTTCTACTACCACTGGTTCGGGTTTATATACATTTAGACTCACACATTCTACGTCTAGCTGCTGATCATGTGCGAAAAGAAGACCCCCGACGCGTGCGTTCCTTCCTCGACTCACCGACTGGCTCCTGCTGCATGCCGACGCGTACGTGCCCTGCCGCGTGGCCAAGATGGATCCGATGGAGGCCACCAAGTGGGTCTCCAACTCCAAGGTCTGCCCGGGAGCGCACTGCTTGGTCCCCCAGCTGCACTGCTTAAGTCAACTGATCTACCGGAACTCGTCAAAACTGGCATCAGGTATGGCAGAAGGATGATGATGTCAACCCATCTCACGATATGCATATATATATATGGTTAACTAATAAGGTATGGCCCAAACCTTATGTTTGAGCGCTGTCATGACAAAGAACCATCAGTATACAGTATAGTATAGGTTACAATTGGTACACTCCAGATTTTACTTTTACAGACTTTCTCGCCAGGACCAGCTCTGCATGAATGCGAACTCATGGGGGGGGAAGTCGTCCAGCTCTGCATGGGATGTGACATGTCTCTTGGGACTTCACCACCAACACGCACAATATACATTGCGTGTATCCCATGACCTGTGACAGTGGATGATGGTTTGGTTCCAGGCATTTCTCTAGAATAGTGCGTGTTGACCGACAGCTACAGGATGCTACAGGTAATGGGATGTCATGGGACAAAACCCCCAAAAGATACACTTCATGGACCCGATCACTCACTTCTTACGCCGGCACTCGCAAGAGCCGACCACGACCGACCGCACCGCGGCCCCCCCCGACCGGCCTCCTCATCACAAAGGCCCTCGGCACCGCGCCTGAAGCGGAGTGGCGGCCATCCGCTGTGTTTCTCCGGATCAGCGGTTGAGCCAGCGGTTGTTCGACGATCCGCGCGACACACGATCAGCTACATTGAAGCATTATAGCTTTCTTTAAACGTGCCCTGTACGGTCATATACAGCCGACCGCAGCAGATGGTGATTCAAGTTGTTTTGACATTGCTCTCTGGGGTCACCGCCAATCTAAAGGGAGACCTCCCAGAGAGGAAAAGAAATCAGTTGGTTAGCTGTCTTTGGCATCCTCTAGAGTAGTCTCATACAACCTATCAACATCTACCAACCAGTTTTGGGATGTGTTTGGTGTCTTTTTTTAACCCTCTATCGACCGAAAGTCTACACTGAAGATTCGGTGGGCAATCCTCTATCCGAATTCAAACTCTGGGAAATCCTCTATCAACCATCCAAAAAAGATGACAATGTCGCGAAGATTCCCATGGTCGAAAGAAAGTAGGAGCCCGCATAGTCTTGGGGCAAAAAGGAACTGCTGCGTTACACATCTCTCCAATGTTCAATAGTTATTTGGAATCCTGTGAAGCAGCAGGTTCTAGAAGGTCTGGGATCCAAGTACACCGTTAAAGACACTCTCATATCCCTGGCGATACTGGGACTGATCCTGCAACTTTGAACTTCTTGAAGGAGCGCATTTCTATCCGTTTGACTGTCTCCTTGCTGTTCCCTCCGGAGGCTTTGGTAAATGAAAAAGGTCTACAGAGCTAAAGGGCTGACCCAGTACAGCGTAGAATGCAATGTCGCATTCTCTGGAGCAAGATGCTCTTTTCTAGGTTGCTCAAGGCTACGCGGGCTGCCACACTACGTTGCTCTACTCCACATATGTGGCATTGCTCGCTCCTGGTATGGCACCCGGGCACCTGTTCATTTCTTACTTTTGGATACTTTTGGACATCTATGATGTTTTATCCACCTTAAGCCCAGCCAAGTGCTGCACTTGTAGGCCAGAAAGAGCTGCAGCAACGCCTTGAGCGCTGCCTGTCGCACCTCGCTGGGAGCTGTTTCCAACGTGAAGCCCGCAGCGGGGAGTGGTAGATGGGGGGGGGGCCCTCGAACCAGGCCTTGAAGAGGCATCCAAACATACTTAAAGAGGTCTTTAAAGACCCCAAACATACTTAGAAAATCTTGGAAGCCTCTTTCCAAGTTTTCCACCTGCCCAAAACCTCAGGGTGTTCTTCGGATCGGATTCGTTGGATCGGAATCTACTTGGTCAGATCGGAATCGTAGGATCGGAATCTATTTGGTCAGATCGGAATCGTAGACTCGACGGGCGAGCGCGCAACACCATCCCGACCGTCCCGACCATCCCGACCATCCCGACCATCCCGACCGTCCCGACCATCCCGACCAATTGATCCTATATCGTTGACGCTTATCCCGAACTTACGCTGGCTCGGCGAAGTCGAGGAAAAACTATGCCGACTGTTGTAACTAACTGGTTGTGCACCGGCCATCCCGACCACCCCGACCGTCCCGACCATCCCGACCAAGGATCCTATATCGTTGACGCTAATATCGTTGACGCTAATCCGTAACTATAACGCTGATTCGGCGAGGTCGAGTATAAACTATTCCAACTGTTGTTGCTAACTGGCTGCGCATCAGCTATCACATCCCGCCCATCCCAACCATCCCGACCGTCCCGCTAGAATCTGATCCTACGACGCTGATCCGGCCGAAAGGAATCTGATCCCAGACGCTGATCCCTGACGCTGATCCGGCGAAGTCGAATCTGATCCGGCAATTGCCCAAAACCTCAAGGACTTATTGACGTGCAACAGGCTGCAGAACAAACCGCATGGGGAGGTTCATATATTCTTTTGGGTTCACTCGAGCTCAACATCGATGCTCCTTACACGCACCTGGCCCATAGGGTGCATATGGTAGGAATAGAACCTAAAGCAGGCCCAAGTAACTTCTGTGACACTGGACACACTCACATGAAAGTTATATAATTAGCCTAACTCACGGTATCTCCTAGAGCTACATGCGCAGTCATCGTTTCACGCAGCGAAGTCGTCGATCAAGTCCCAGTTGGGATACCACCAGTTGGAATACTCTCAAGCAGTCTATTCGCCCTACGAAAGCGGCGAACTTTGTCAGAGTAATCACCTCTTTTACGGAAGGGCATATATTCAACATGACCTGCTTGCAAGATTGGTGAAACCTCTAGAAATGCAATAGGATGCAATAGGGGAATTGGATGGAACTGGAGGTCACATTCTTTAGAGGCCAAATTGCAGCTTCTTTCGTCTTCACTTGCCCTTGGAGCCATTCGGCCCGACAGTTGTCATCAATGATCATCCTAGTAATACCTATGCTCGCAGCATTGGTTCTTAAGCGCATGTCTTGCACATTTTGATGGGCCTCTTCAACCTCCTGCTCTTCCAGTTTGCACAAGGTTGACTCTTTCCATTCTTGGCCATGAATAAATTGAAGTCCTGCTGTCGATGGCGTATATGCCTTGAACCTTGCGTGTCCTGCGTGTCATCGAGGTAGTTCTCACAGGGCACGCAATGTGAGGCCTCTTCAGGCCTCACAGCCAACATGCAGGCTCCTAGATGCAGACTCCACAGGGGCCTTCAGTGTCCTTGATCCTCCACCCACTCCTCCACCCGTTCCGAGGGCGCGTGGTGCCCGTTCCGTCGGCGAGTCGCCGAACTCCAGGCACTGGTGTCGTTAGACTCTGCACGATCGGCACGGTGCCTTTCGCAAGGCCTTCATCCAAATACCAGCTTTTCATAGGTCACTCTCAATGGCTCTCCATTGAGACATGTCAGCGAATAGGTTAGCCTGCCAGCTTCTCTGGATTTGCACCTTTCTCAGAGATAGCGAGAAGCCTCCACAGGTACTGTGGAACTTCGAAAGAACGCCTTGGAAGTCCAACACGTTGCAAATTCATGTCCACTTCCTGGGACCTATGTGAAGCATGAAGTTTCAGTCTGCGGTAGCTTCCGGTCCAATGGTCAGCAGAAACAGATGTTTGGCCATGATGTGGGGTGTCTAGATAGTACGTGATGATTTTGCAAAAACACACACACATGTATGTATATATACAGTGTATTGCAGGAAAAGGTGTCCATTGATAATCTCTGATATCATCTGATATCCATTGCCACCTCCAAATCGTTGACAGCTCTACCCAAACAAGCATACTCTGCCCTGAAAGAGCAGCAACAATCTTCAAAGCATGCACCTGTCGCCTCTCCATGTCACAGGTATCGCAGGTATCTCTTCAAGACTCACGATGCCGACACGATGACTCCGATTTTGCGCCTTACTCTTCACCAACAAACAAAACAAAACGTGTCATTGCGGGTGTCGGGTGTTTCTTGTGATGTATAGCCTATACGTATAGCATCGTATAGCCATACTTCTGCGTCGTTCAGTAAACAGCTTCCCTCCCTAGGCTGAAACTCATGGAACATGATCACCAATCGTGCTGTACGCACACTCCCTCAGCATGGACAACTACTTCACGTTCTAGGCAGCTGTTTACTTCATCTAGATGCAGTTATGAATCGGTTCATCTGCGCTTCAGAGCTGTTCAGAGCATTTAGGAGTCTAGTGACATCTCATCTTTATTTGGACAGATCTTTGTTCGGACCTTGTCCTGTTCTCAGAATCCTAAAAGTCTTACTACTTTCAAACCGCTTGCTTGAGAACTGGTTGCTTTCATCCCATCCCATGGAGACACCAATTCACACTGGTTGCTTTCGGAGCATTGACACACACACACACACATGGGCGTGCTCCTGCCATCACCTCCCACCGCCTCCCATCAAATTGTCGCGCGATGACTCACTAAGCAAAACTAAGCATAACATAGAGCATTACACCGTCCATCCATCCATCCATCCATCCATCCATCCATCCATCCATCCAATCGTATCCGAGGCGCCGGGAGTGTGGCTGAAGCGTCCGAGGCAGCTTTGGCCAAGGTGAAGGGCAGCTGACTGTCCTGGCGCGATCCACGATGCGATCTCCAAGCATATCATCATAAACATATAAATCCGCAAAGCAAAACATGTACTTTGCACTATACACATGTCATTGTGCCTTATCGTACCATGGCAGTGTAGGGAAAACCAGGATGTCAAAATACAGCCAATCCATGCTCTGGCTAAGAGGATCGGTCCACTTCATATATCCAATTGGGAGGGCCAAGGTACTCATCCGAAAAGCAATCCTTTGACGTACTGAAAGCACTGAAAACATCCTCATAGCTTCTGAGTTGCCTCGCCGCCACACCAGCCGCACGACTCGTCAGGGTGCAGGAAAACCAGGGGTTTCCGCCAGCAAGTCGAATTAATTGGTGGGCCATTGGTGTTTTCGTTTTGTGGTTGGTTAGTTGGTAGAATGACAAACATTGTTGAGCAGCTCAGGGCAGCATTCCTCTGATGCACTGAAGATCACCTGCAAAACTATGCCTGCTCTGAAGGCACCTGGAAGCTCTTTTTTGTCAGCCCAACAGCACCTCCTGGCAACTCACTGTACAAGTTCTCCCAACGTTCCACGCGGCCAAGCGCCCGCGTCCACATTCATTTGGTTCCACCCCAAGAAAAAAAACGAGATCCTCAAGCACTGGCCACTGGCCCTGAAAAGACACATGGCCGCAGCGACCACAGGATACTTTTCGGCCCAAAAGAGCAACAAGCCTTCGAAGGTGTTCTGAGTGTTCCGAGACACAACTCTGAATCCAATTGACTCAGCAATACCAATAAAGGCATCTGAGGATCTCAGGGTGATATGATTCAGCATCCACGACGAGGAGCCCAACAAAATCTTCTTTGCTCAGATCTCCAAGGACTTCTTGGCTTCTTCACCTTACACTTGCACAAACAGAATCTGCTCCCTATTAAGCCATCCTTACCAAGCCATGGCCCAGGGCCTGTACCCGTCAAACTCTTTCGGGACCTTGGGAGACTCAAGTGTCTGTGCTACTCAAAAAGTGCTGGACCACCAAACTCTGTCGTGTCACAGATCTGTTGTAACGTGCTTGTGCAGTTCAAATCTCTAACTTCAACATTTTTAGGCTTTGCACGAGAGCTTCGAAGGTCATAGTCGGTCATTTATTGTTCATCTTCAACGGGTAGCTGAAAAAAAGGATGGAACCTCCACCACTCAAAACATGTACTTGCCCGCTGTAGCAAAGCTTGCGATAGCTCTAAAGCCCCTGCACCCTTTCACCTTTTTCACCTCGTCTCAGGGGTTCATCCAAGGGTGTGCAACCGGGACCAACGTGCACGTGCACGTGCACGGGACGTGCCGCAGGAGAAGCTCGATCTGTTGAAAGATCGTTTTCCACATCAACCCCGGTGTGACACGACAGTCTGGTATGTTCATCGTGTGCTTGTGTGTGTTTTTGAAGCCTTAGAGTGACACAAGCCGCAGAAAAACATGTTCGGTTTGAAAGATTTTAACCAATTTGGCGAAGCATTTTCCCTGGGTGAAGCCATTTCGCCAGGTTACTGACCTGTCCTTTCAGAGACCCATTGAGGCATTGGCGCAGATATTCCTCGGCGGTGATGGGCCCGTACTTCTTCGCATCAACACGCGTGAACTCGGGCAAAGGATCCTTGGTGTGCCGTGTGACCATGTACTTAGAATGCCGCGGGCATTCTAAGATGGAGATGCATTCTATGTGTCCGGAACTCAAACAGACATTCTAAGTTTCGCTATCTTAGTATATATATCTTGACCCTGTCTGATCCTTTACAGCTCTCACTAGTTTGTCCTTCTGTATCTTCTGTCTACCACAGCCTCTAACGTGGAGGAAAACGTGGGGAAAAGTGACACTGAAATTGTGGCAAACAACAGTCAATCCCAGTGGGTGCTTCCTGAGCTCTGCTCAACCAACCCTTGTTCTGATAGTTTGCAACATACTACACATATACATACCATGTGTATATATAATGTGATGTTGGATCTTGATTAGTAAAAGGGACCCCCCCTCAAACAAATGGGGGAGCCTCTATAAACAACTACCACCAAAACAAATCTGGGTTCCTAGGAGGATTCCTTTTGTAATTGCTTGTAGTATTCATTGTCCTTTCTCTCTTTGTAGTAGTTGTTGTTGTTGTGGTAGTAGTAGCAGCAGCAGCAGCAGGAGTAGTAGTAGTAGTAGTAGTAATAGTAGTTGTAGTAGTAGTAGTAGGAGTAGCAGGATCACGGGCCTTCCTGGTCTACTACCTTGAAAATTTGTTTAGGAGCAATCTTTTCATAAAGGATTGATTAGGGAATTGATGGTTTTGGGAAGCTGTCAGTTTTGAAGAAGAACTATTGACACCTATACTTATCAATACTCTCAGAAAGCCAACCATTGGCTTAGTAGTAGTAGTAGTAGTAGTAGTAGTAGTAGTAGTAGTAGTAGTAGTAGTAGTAGTAGTAGTAGTAGTAGTAGTAGTAATAGAATTAATATTTCTATTTTCCTAAAGGAAATATACTTAACCCTAAATATGTTTCAGATAATAAAAAATTAGGATCCCCAAAGCATTGAGCATAATAGAGGACCCTTAAAACAAACAGGGTGTCAAGAATTATGTGTCCAACATTTAGCATCATAGAGGGCCTATTACTAATCAACGTCCAACATTACTATATTTATATTCTAGAAGTTCTCAAGACTCTTCATGTCCACCTGGAACCACCACAACATACTTGCGATGCCAAGTTTCCAGGACTTCACCGCGGTCGGGATCACAAAAAAAGACGATGCCTTCAAGCCAAGAAGATGAACTGTGCACCATTGTTATTCTCAGTTGCATGGGGTCGACCAGATTACTTGGAGTCAGCCGATTGACACAATGCACCTCTAGAAGAACAGCAGGTCTGTGAGAGAATTCGGGCACGTCTCTCTTCGTCAGATGTTTGTCGCAAGAGATGTTTGTTCGTCGGACGGGTCCCAAAGGTCCGTCAATCTATTTGGGAGGATCTTCATCGAACCCTCCCAGGTCAGCTTCTCTTCAAAAGCCATCTGTTCCCTATGATTTTGCCTTTCCACCACCGAGTCAGTGGTTTTCAGGCAAGCTCGCGCGGTCGGCCCACCCGGAGTCGTTTGCAGAAGCCAGTGCATTCTGAAAGAAAGCGCAACAAAATGGACAGTGCATTCTTCATACTTCCAGTGCTGGTGCTGGTGCTTAATATCTGCTGAAAGTATTGTGATTGCTTTGCGCCACTGATCTGCGAATCGTAATGTTATGATTTGGTGAAGGTCAAAACATATCCCTGCACTCTCTTAAGGTGATGGGTGGCAACTGGTTGCATTGATTGCTGCTACCGGGAATCAGTCATGATATTAGTGTATATATATATATTATATATCTTGTAATATATATATATGTTGTAAAAATATATATATATTATACAACACACATATATATATGGATATCCTTTTAATTACAGCTGCGTTGTTCCTGCTACCGCAGGTTGACTTGCAGCTTCTCTGCTTTAAAAAGACAGGGGGTGCTCTGAACATCACAGCCAACCTGAGACTGCCCAGCGGCTGTAGCGATCCTCCTCAGTGGAGATGACCCTGTGAGGTGTGGCCTTGACAAAGTCATTACACCAGCGCGCCAGCATGGCACCCGTATTCAACACCACAGCGCCCTCCTGGCGATTTGCGGCACTTCGGTAGGAACAACATTGGACAAACCTCAGAAGTGTTTGCTCCCGAGACCCGTGCAGGCAACAGGGGTTGGTGCAGGATCAAGGTCATGGCTTTCTGAGTTCAATATGCATAACTCAAGCTTTCAACAAATACAGATTTAAAAAGAAACACATGTATTGGCAATTGGCAGACTCTCCATGCAGAAAAGGAGGAACCTAGGGGGTAAACTAAGGTGACAATGCATGGCAACTTTGCTCACTGTACCATTTGTCCTGGAAACTTTCAAGTTGACAGTCACAACACCCCGACCCCTGAAATTCACGGACAAGTTCAGTGCGACTAGTGCATTCATCCCATGTTGGCAAGCTAAGCTGGACGGGGGTGAAGCTTGGCAAAGTGAACAATGTCGGTGAGGAGAGCTCAGCAAAAAAACACTACTCCTCCTACTAAAAAGATGACTTTCCAAGCATCAACAACAACATCAACATCAACATACAACATACAACGACGACAACAACAAAAATAGTAAAAACAAAACATGTGCAGCAGCAGCAACAACACAACAACAACAACAACAACAACAACAACTACTACTACTACCACCACTACCACGACGACTACTACTACTACCACCACCACCACTTACTACTTCTACTACTACTACTACGACGACGACGACTACTACTACTACTACTACATGAAAGCTGATACCGCACACATACCATATTAGTTCAAACAAACACACACACACACAAATCCAAAGCACAACAAATAGTAACTTAATAATTCCTCTTCCATCCACACCTTTTCTAAGGCATCCCACGGCGTTGCCGCGTCCTTGCCCGGAGCCGAGATCCACTTGCCATCAGGGGTGCGCACTTCCAAGCCTCGCTCGGAGATTCGTCCGGTCGGACACATGGTGGGACGTGCCAAGCACTCGGGTGGAGCCCCAAACACTTGGTGGATAGATTCATAGATGTGGATATATGATATATTATAGAACAACGCATACACTCTGACTCAGACATGGAAGTGGAACATGAATGAACCTGTTTTATTTGGAAGACTACTTGACCACTTCCATGCTAGTAAGTTGGAATGTACTGTATATCAAAATACTATCAAATACATCCAAATACTTCTTGCTCCGGAACTGGTGGCCTGACTTTCCCTGATTTGGGCGATTCTGTTGGAAGGACCGGCGTGCGGCCGGAAAGCTGGCATTGAGAAATCGGCTCAACATCGGCCGTCCAAAAATCGACCAGCGTTTGATGTGAACATCGCAAACAGCATCGCACATGTTGGGTCGTGTAGGGGGTCGGTTGATGGTTGTTGTAAACTCTCATGTCATCTGCCCATTCGTTTGTTTGTTTTCTGCGGTTCTCTTTCGGAGCATCCCAACATCTGATTGCACAGGTCATCCAGCTTCTCTTCCAAACCCCTGGATCTTGTCCGATTCCCTCACCAAAACTCATACTCCCAGGTTGAAAAACACACATTGTCATTGATGTCAATAATTATAGGTAAGGTCAGGTGTTAAATTCCCAATACATTAGTCGTATGCTAACGAATTCATTAATGAAATCTTGTGTATCCCTTGGCTCACCCACGTTGCTTCCCGAGGTGCCCCGCACGCCATCCTCGACCAACAGTACGGTCACCGCCCCAAAGTCCGTGTGCTCGCCACACGCGATCGCGGAGCCGCTTCCCTCGTCGCAGTGGGCAATGCCTGCACTGGTGCGATCTCAGGTAGCCCATGGTAGCCTCAGCCTTTTCCGCTAAGCAAATGAGTGGGAGTGATGTAGGCAGAAGATACTTGAACTTGACTTGGCCTTTTGGCCTTATCCATGGCTTTTGAAGTGAGGTATCTTCGGCCTAAGCAAATGCAGGGGAATGGATAATGAATGGGAGTAGCTAGTTCTGCCAATTTCCTGGCTGGGGCAATCTCAACCTCATCGGTTGGAACATGTGTTGTTCATCCTGTAGGTGGACATGCTGGTTCAAACATCAATGACATCAACGAAAAACGCGCAGGGTCGTGGAAAGCAAAGCTATTCCTAAAGTCCTAAACAAAAACATACAAAAACTTATAAACTGATCCATCAACACCCTGTGACCCTGTCTGTTTAACACTGAGATTGATGGCGTTGTATCAAAAAGACGGATAACACCATGATATTATTGCTTCCCCTCCACACTTACATCCACTTACCCAATCTGAGCCTCCCGACCTGGTGGGTAGTGCAGCAATCGCATGGTGCAAAGGTCCCACTGGACCACGCTGCGTGCGAAGTGCTTGGGATCCTCCAGCTGCAGCGCCACGCCAAAGGCCAACAAGGCTCGCTGCGCTGCAAGCGACGTCAACGCCCAGGTCCTGCGTCAACGCGTAAAACGCTCCGCGGCGCAAAGGCTCCGACCGCAGATTTGGTTTCTATATATAGGTTCTTAGGGAAACTAATAGCGATGGCCTCCACCCTAAGAGCGATTTTGTTCCTGGGGAACTATGGAGATGGAGAGACTTGCGCAGACTTGTACACACTTTTTTAGCGATTGCCATCGCCCATTCTGGTGGGCGACCTATCCATCAAATAAATTTCAATCAAAATTATGTCCCACAAGGTTGGCTTCGATGAGATCTGTCCAGAATATCATATCAACCAAATTCAACAGGATTGTGTTTTTTCTCTGGCTGGGATGAATCACGAGGATATTTGCATTTATTTGCCAAAGCAACACATCTCAAACAGACCTAATTCTCAAACAAAACAGAAAAACGAGCTGTGCCTAAGCAAAGCTCAGTGCAATGGATTCAACTTCCACGATCAAACACAAAGTAACTTGAGAGGACGGAGACACGAAAGGTAGGACAGCGGGAAGAGAAAAGAACGCGAGAGGCAGGAACAAAAATGCAATGTTCGACATGGTGATTTATCCCCTCGGAGGCGACCTTTCGTAAATCATAAATATATGTTCATATGCACTCTAAATGTTCAAATATATGCTCTCGAAATGTTCAAAAAAATTCTTAGGAAAACAAACTTGCCCCATGGATCAGATCATCGGTGAGCATTGAATCGGAGCATCATAGGATTTGAACTATCCTGAAACCATAAGAGGCTCACGAAGACGCTCCCCAGGAGAGAATTGACGTGCTTCACAAAACAAACTCTAGGTACGTATCCCCTCGGGGAACACCTTTCGTGATTAGAATTTCATATGCACTCTTTCTGAATGTTCAAGAGGGTTTCAACTATCCTGAAATCATGAGAGGCTCAAGAAGACGTTCTCCAGGAGAGAATTGAATTTAGAGGGGGGGGGGGTCTCTATTGAAAAATAAATTCCAAGGGGGGGGGGGGGGGGGGCTGTATTGAGAAATCAATTCGAGGGAGGGGGGGTTGAATTGAGTGATCAATTATTAGACCCGGACGTCCCAACACTTGCTTCGCAAGACAAACTCAAGGTATCCCCTAAAGGGCTACCTTTCGTGATATGACCCTCGGATTTGGAAGCTCTCAGGGCAACTTGCACCTTTATGCTCATTTTATACATCAGCTGACAATCAGCTGTGTCTAGCTCAGTGCACCATCAAAGTCTTCAGTGACCTGATTTCGGAAGTTCTTCCCTCAGTTTCCCAGCTCTCCTCTGGCAGTAGCTGGGGAAGTCCTTCACCGCTGGTAAGGACCCATCTGTCAAGCTGACTTTGCGCAAGTTGAAGGCCTCGATCGCCCGTGTATCTACTTCCTTTCTGCAAGTGACCCCGCGAGCGTCCAAATCCAATATCGATTCTACAGTCTGCGTTCTTGGTCGCGCCACGGTCCACGACAAAATATAAGCTCTCATTATTTTTGGCCAACCTAGAAAACACCTTAAAACATCTGCATCATAAAACATCGTAAAAACTACTTATATTCCAAAAGTCATTATTGTCTTTTTTTTCTGTTAAGGGAGATGTTTTAGCCCAAAGGCCTGAAAGAGATGGTTTCGATGGCATGCGAGCCTCGCCTCTTTCAAGTCAGCCTGGCGCCGAGCGTTCAAGGCCTCATTGCCCAGGCCGCCATAGCCTCGCACCGTTGGACGTTGGACATGAGCAGACCCGTGTTGCTCTATGGATGGCAAAAGACCATCATGGTTGTGTCGAAAACCTTTGGAGACACGGTGGTTCCTTGAAACCGATTGACCAGTTTGGCTTGGTCCAGTTCTTTGGTGAGGCCGACACTGTCTCAGTCATTGAGACGCGAAGGCACAAAATTGGGGACCTCACATTCGTCCAATTGGTCCAACGTCGCCTAACGTCGTCTCGCCCCGACCCACCGACATCTCGCTCCCGGGAGGTTGGCCGCCTACGTTGGTCTCGGGCGTCAGCCGCGGCAGCGCCGCACGGTCCACGTCCGGCGCCCAGAAGCCCTTGGCGCCGTGGAAGGCCTCGGCGATCTCGGCTGAGGAGAGGAGGCCGAAGGCGTACACGAAGCCGTGGCCTGGGAGGCGAAGAGTCGGTGGAGAAGATCGGGGAAGACCATGGAGCGATTGGAAGTCATGGATTGGAGAGGAAAAGATCTGGAAAACTGTTTTTTTTTTTTCTGTTGTTGGGGGGGGTCTTGAAAAAAAAAGGACGGGATGAGGATGATGAGGATAAAATGGGGATGATCGGTGACAAGTCCATACACGCCTAACTACTCGATTGACACCGAAGCTCACCTGGAGGTACTCCGATCATGTCCTAAGATGTCCTAAGCTATTCCAGTCATGGATCACCTGGAGGATGTGTCTGCAAACTGGAAGAATCTCGAAGACCAAACTGGATGGGGGATGATGGGGGTACAAGATCGCAACTTCAATCACCATCGATTTCAGCAGGAGCATTGACCGCATGCCATGAAACCAATGCAAACTGCACAAAAAATCGTCCAACGTCCAACACTGTACATTGTAGAAAAAGCCACAATCACACAACTACACAACATTAACGCCACAAACATGCCACCAAACGTCGCATGCATAATACAGCATGATAAGCAAAGTACATCAAAGTACCGCAACCCAATTAGCTATGGGGCTGTAACTGGCTGTGAATTTACTTTCCTCTTTGTATCGGCTTCTGCTGATATGCTCACCCCTCCGCTTTCACCAAGTCTAGCGAAACCACACGACACGCGCTTCTCAGGTGCGTGTCTCGGTGCCTCGTAAGATCTCTCGCAGCTGCTCGCCCACGGCCTGCTGCTCCTCCGTCGCCTGGAACGGCTCGGCGTCTAAGGCAGCTGCCCCAAAGACGGAGAAGTCCACGTCCGGCACGACATCCATTGGGGAAAGCGTGGAGAATGGGGGACCTATAGCCTATAGCTTCGGGAGCCTGAAAGCTGCAGGATGGAAGAAGCAAACCGCTTCTCACTTGCAAGCAACAAACATCATCCTCAAGAGCAACGGCTGAGAGAGAGAGAGAGAGTATGCTAGCTGCTCATCTGTGCACTTGATTCAAATCCATCATCCAACAACGTAACATCTTGCAAAACAGTTGACCAAAACGTATTGTACTGTATTCTCGGCTACTGTCACCAATAGTCATCTGGACAACTGCTAATCTGCAAGGGGGGCCCGATGTGACGGGGTCACATCAGGGTCACATCAGGTTCCTGTTTACAAGGCGTTTTGGTGTTTGAATAATGTTTTGATTTCATACACAATTATTTCATTGTTTTATACGATGCGACTAATCTATCTGAGAGTATACTACCGCCATCCTTCAAGAATCTCGGCTCAATTCCCAAGTAGTAGAGCGTTTTTGGGGGGGCTGATTCAGCTCCGGTCAAGGTAAGTACTCGTTGATAGTAGATAGTCAAACACATTTCTTGTTTGAGAGGTACATGGTACATATCTCCACAGCTCCAATTCGCTCATGTTTTTCGGCCCAACAGCTTTGATTGGCTCAAGTGAGGCTGAAATCAATGGAGTGAGGTAGAACTTTCCTTATTCTCTCAAAATGGGTTCTACAAGACAAAGCTCGTCGTGGCAAAAGGATGCAAAAGGCATGAAGATTATCTGAGCCACTCTACAGGTAGAGGGTGAATCTCTCACCTCCGAATCTCTCACCTCATCTGGGATTGTCAGAGACCTCGGGCATCTCTGGCACCAGCACAAAGGGTGCGCAGTTCCACATCCCACCTGCGTACTCGTCGGGTCGAAATCGTCGAAATGCGGTGAGTTCGCAGGGAATGAGGGCGGGTGGATCGTAATCGTAAGGTATCTATCCCGACTCCATGTACAGAACATTTACCTACGTTGACCCCTGAAACCACCCCAGTTTGGGTATAGTAAAGACCCATTCCCTCATTTCGACTCAGTCTGTTGTTGACGACACCCTCCTCCTGACTTCTGCCCCAGCGAACGCTACAATAAGACGACTACCAGGCTACAAACGACAAGACTGCTGAATCCGCAGCGACTGGGCCTGGCAAATTGGAGGACCATAAATCTGAAAACAACGATCCCATCTCAAAAGCAGCAAAAAGGCAAAGATTGGGAAACCAAGAAGACGCAAAGGAACACATTCTGGATCCATTCTGCACGAACCTGGGAATAGGAGCCAACATCAGCCAACCCAGCTGTCTTCCATTGTCGTCCATGGTTTTGGACGCATGCTTTTGGAGGTTTGCTGGCAACCCTCCAAATAGCGATGGAAATTGGTCACTGATTGGCAAGGTGATAAATGAGTTTGTGTCAAAACTAACGATGTGTTGGCGGGGTATGCATTGACAATTTAGGACTCCAGGACGTCACCCGAGTCTCGTTCTCTTCGGGTTTTGAGTCTTTCCACATCTGTGTGGCATGACATAGGTTTGTCTCTGACACATACAATTACTCACATCTGATGGGGTCAGACTTGGCCCTGGTGTAGAACATTGACAACTAGTCAACTAGTGGTTAAAGACAGGAAAGCACATGAACAAACATGTGCATGTTGATCCGTATTCCTCGCAGGCATAGTAGTGGACTTTTACGATTTCGTACCTGTTTTTCCCCAATGTTCAAAAATATATGCTATATTGCCTCTGAGCGTGCAGAAACCTGAGTCCGTTTCGATTTGACAATCGAAGACCGCATCCAAACAACCAATCCTCTGGTAGTTTGAGGGCCCAAAAAGGTTTCCAGAGTGGACACCTTCCACCTATGGTGGAATGCGCCTGCCCTCCACGCCTGTTGCGCCCATGGCGCCCAAACCCAGCAACACGCCGGGCGCCGGCCCTTGCCGCAGTTCATCGCGCATGAAAAGCACACGGCCCCAAAGCGGGTCACCATGCCTCTTGGAGGCGCAAAAGAGCAAAGGTGAAGTTCAAAGAACGTGAGACCGTGAGACCTTGGACAGGTTGAAATCAAACCAAATCAAAAGGTTTGAAATCAATAGGTTGATCTTCGTTCCAAGTTCTCAAAAGTACACGGCCTCTTGCAAACTACGGACGACTGCTAGTCGACCTCGCGTCCCGGGACGCGTCCCGCATTCCGCTGTCCCACCTGGCGTGGCTGTAGTCCAAGACCAACGCCTCACGTCCATCCAGCTGCGAGGTCTCTGCTTTCACGCGGAAGCCGCGCGTGTCTGGGAGGCCCGCAAAGCGGTTCCTGATCGCCACCAAGGCCGAAAGTGGTGAAGATGGTGAAGATATTTCATGATCATTGCAAGAGAATCCACCGAAAGCCGGAGCACGAAGCTTTGGACTCAAAACGCCTATTCTCTCTTCCAGGGGTAGTGGTAAAGAACTTGCACCTATATGTAAATGTACTATATAATTTTTGTAATGCCCTGCCAACCAAGTTAATTAAAACCCTTCATAACTTGAAATTGGACTTTCATGGCTGCCTCAGCTGTGCCGCGTCCGAGGTTCTTGCCAAAGTGGCCGCTGCTGTCCATGCTCTTACCCCGCCATTTGGCCAACGGGCCAAAGAGGACCTGACTGGATAGGATGGGATGCTGAGGAAACCTTGACAAACTGGTGGGTTGGGACACTAAAATAGCTCCGAACACCTTTGGTATATATATACATATATATATATTATTATATATATATATATCTGTATACTACAGTATATATCTCCTGTGATTGTTGACAATTGCCATTGACTTCCCCACACGTCCCGTTCTGGGGGGTGTTAAAGAAGCGACTCATATTGCAATAACCAAACCTCGAACAACCTGACATACAAAAACCGTCTCAGATCAAAGTCTAGAGTCTAGACAAAAACGATTGGCAAAAATAAACAAGAACACTCTCAAGTGGTCGTGAAATTGATAGACAAAACATCCAATGCATTGCATACAGTATATACAGTATATGTGTTCAAAGCAAATCACTGTACATCTGTTCTGTAGCTATATGATATGCTCTATACTCTATATCCCATTGTCACTCGTGATGATTGAGCTCCGAAACACCATCATTCCGAAACAACAACCTGGTGGTGGACTAAGCCCCTGAATGCAACGGAACCAAAAGCTTTTCTTGAATCCCTCTTCTTCTCAGTGGCATTTGGATGCGAAAAACAAACACAACAGTAAAGGACCCCACCAACATCGCCACTCTGAAAATCACGGCACGTTGGTGATGAAGGCGGACATGGGAGCCAAAATGCCCAGAGAGAGGAGGTATCCTTTGTAGCGCACACCCTGGTACCTGAGCCCAACTGCTGGTCTCTCTCGGCCAAAACGCACTTTTCCTCCCGGTAGTTTCCAAGATGGGACACCGACCACAGAATCCACCATCTCTTTGGAACATGCCCAGCTGCCACATGCTTTGTTAGCAGTCAGGCAAGAACTATTGCAATATGATATACTTATATGTTTTTTGTATATTAGATGAATATATTAGATGAATATATACATACATACATACATACATACATACAT